TTTCTTCCACACCCAGGCAAATTCTCTGTCATACCAAACTGTTTAAACTTTTTTATAATGAACTGTACAATAGATCTAGGGATAGCTAACTGGTTTGAAAGAGTGCTTTAATTATTGCCTGACTTGTGGATGTTAATAATTCTCTGTCTCAAGTCAACACTAAGCTCCTTTGTCTTCCGTCATCGTGTTGTTAACATAAGAATAACAATGGTGACACTCTATGCACTATGTGATATTTTTTGCTGGAATTATCACAAATAATCCACAAATAATCTACTGAATAAATAGTCTTGAAGGCTTCACCGATAAAATAATTATGTAAATTACTTGTAATCAATTTAAAATGATATTTTCTACTGTACAAATAATTTTGTCTTTTCCTATTTTGCATAATTTGCCAGTCAAATTTGTTGTATTATTGTTTTGAAAATTGAGTTTTATATTCTTTTTTTTTTTTTTTTGCTTAATAACATATAAAAAACCTGGCATCATACATGCATGAGATTCTGAGAAGTGGATAAAAATATTCAAAATTGATGGGTGTATGAATAATTTTGTCATTGACTGTATGTATCTTGTCTATTTACAAAGGTTGGTAAAATAAAAATTATATTTAAAAAATGGGTAATCCATATGTATATCAAAACCAAAATCCAAATATTTAGATTCCACCATTAAAAATTCCATGTGTTTGATATGCTAAATAATATCAACCAACCAAAATCCAAATATTTAGATTCCACCATTAAATGAACCCAAAGAGGTGTTGATATCCTTTTCCAAATAATTTCCACCATTAAATAAAAGAGGTGTTGATATGCTGCTAAATAATATCAACCAACCAAAATCCAAAATATTTAGATTCCACCAAAATAGAGGTGTTGATTTTATTTAGATTCCACCATTAAATAACCCATAGAGGTGTTTAATTTTTTTATTTAGATTCCACCATTAAATTTGATATGCTGCTTTAAATAATATCAACCAACCAAAATCCAAATATTTAGATTTATAAATTGATATGCTGCTAACAATATCAACCAACCAAATCCAAAAACCACCATTAAATAACCCATAGAGGTGTTGATATGCTGCTAAATAATATCAACCAACCAAAATCCAAATATTTAGATTCCACCATTAAATAACCCATAGAGGTGTTGATATGCTGCTAAATAATATCAACCAACCAAAATCCAAATATTTGATAAATTTAACCCAATAGAGGTGTTGATATTTTAATATCAACCAACCAAAATCCAAATATTTAGATTCCACCATTTTCTCCCATTGTTGATATTCTTAATTTCAACCAACCAAAATCAAAATATTTAGATTATTAAATAACCCTGTTCTTGATTACTAAATAATATCAACCAACCAAAATCCAAATATTTAGATTCCACCATTAAATAACCCATAGAGGTGTTGATATGCTGCTAAATAATATCAACCAACCAAAATCCAAATATTTAGATTCCACCATTAAATAACCCATAGAGGTGTTGATATAAAAAATATCAACCAAACAAAAATCCAAAATTTAGATTCCACCATTAAATAACCCCATAGAGGTGTTGATATGCTGCTAAATAATATCGACCAACCAAAATCCAAATATTTAGATTCCACCATTAAATAACCCATAGAGGTGTTGATATGCTGCTAAATAATATCGACCAACCAAAATCCAAATATTTAGATTCCACCATTAACAAACATATAGAGGTGTTGATATGCTGCTAAATAATAATAAAAAAAAAAAAATCCAAATATTTAGATTCCACCATTAAATAACCCATAGAGGTGTTGATATCACATTAAAACAATATCGACCAACCAAAACCAAAAATTCCACCATTAAAAAACCCAAGAGGTGTTGAATTAAATAAGAATACAAAAATCCAAATATTTAGATTCCACCATTAAATAACCCATAGAGGTGTTGATATGCTGCTAAATAATATGACCAAGTTTGGTTCCAAATATTTAGATTCCACCATTAAATAACCCATAGAGGTGTTGATATGCTGCTAAATAATATCGACCAACCAAAATCCAAATATTTAGATTCCACCATTAAATAACCCATAGAGGTGTTGATATGCTGCTAAATAATATCGACCAACCAAAATCCAAATATTTAGATTCCACCATTAAATAACCCATAGAGGTGTTGATATGCTGCTAAATAATATCGACCAACCAAAATCCAAATATTTAGATTCCACCATTAAACAACCCATAGAGGTGTTGATATTCTTTAAATAAAAAACCAACCAAAATCCAAATATTTAGATTCCACCATTAAATAACCCATAGAGGTGTTGATATGTTGCTAAATAATATCGACCAACCAAAAATCCATTCCATTGGCATTAAAAAACCTATAATTTAGATTGCTGCTAAATAAAATCAACCAACCAACCAAAACCAAATATTTAGATTCCACCATTAAATAACCCATAGAGGTGTTGATATGCTGCTAAATAATATCAACCAACCAAAATCCAAATATTTAGATTCCACCATTAAATAACCCATAGAGGTGTTGATATGCTGCTAAATAATATCAACCAACCAAAATCCAAATATTTAGATTCCACCATTAAATAACCCAAAGAGGTGTTGATATGATGCTAAATAGTATCAACCAAACCAAAAGAGAGTGTATTTACTATCTTACTGTTTCAAGTAAGTTTTTTAAGCTGAGTAAATTTTTCTGGAAATCTCTAATTCTGTATAATATGCCCCCCCGCCATTTTTAGTCTTTAATTCTCATTCAAAATTTCTTTTATGATGTACAAGAAAATATGGTAATGTATTTCTTGTAGCATAATCCATTTTCTATGCTTTTTTACTGTCAAAATCTCTTTTAGTATATTTGAATTGTAAAAAGATAAATTCTTGAGACATTTTGGTAAGTTAATTTTTAAAATGTTTTCTCTCATGTAATCAGTACAGTAAAAAAATATGTTCATTGTTTTTTTTTTTTTTTTTTTTTTTGCCTTGCAGGTAAATGTAAAGTTTAAGGAACACCTCAGAAAGAAGTACCTGTAACATTTCTGGAAAATAGTCTGTCTCATACGTCACAGGAAAATGGGAAAGATCTTTACATATTTTGTATGGGACCCAATCTGGATGCTCTAAGGTGAGTTTGTTTAATTATATAATGTGAATAGCGGCTCAGATTAAGTAATTGGAGAGCCGAGTTTGAATTCCAGTCAAGTTTGTTACATTCACCTACGTGCAAATACCCTTGGGAAAGGTATGAATCTCTCTCTTCTCTCTTGTCCCAGCTATGGGTAAATAGGACAGACTTGTTCCTGTAGCTTTGTGTGACAACCTAGGAGAAGGACAACTCTGAATTAAAAACAAGAGTGGTTGGCAAGTAAACTGGATCCCCCATCAGACCCTGGTCTGGTGAAGAGGGTAAAGAGAACCCCAGCAGCACAAAAAAAAAGTTGTTAAAGGGTGGATGAACTCCTCAGAGTCAATGGCAATCTACCTTGACTACGGGTTAAGTAGCCTCGCCAACCTGCCAAGCATAGTGAATATAGCTATAACCCGAAAGACCTGGTCAAAATGTGAGAAGGTCCCAAATCTGGATCTAGTGATCTTTCATCCCTGGTACCTTTTAATGTGCAGCAAGCTTCCCTTATCTTTTTTTTTATGGGGGTGGGAGATAAGCTCTAAGACTCCCTAGCAGATGCTTAAAACCTAACTTTTATCCTAAGGACACATGGTCCAGTGGATAAATGCATTGGTTGAAGTAATCCAAAAAATGACTTGACCCAAAGAGTTGTGAGTTCAATACCTAGCCACAGCAGAGGGAACAAAAACTTGGTGAGTTGAGCTACTAAACTGAAACTGAGGTATCCAAAAGACCATGGCACATGGAATTAGAATGGTTTACTCATGTGGAGTAAATAAAGGGTTTGGTTTGAAATTGCAACATATATTACCTGAAGAAGGTTGGAGGTACAATGGCTGAAATGTTGTGAATATCCCAGTAAAGATAAGGACAACAGTCCAAAGGATGTAAATTTTGTCTGTATCTTCTGATTCTCTCCCTTATCCTTTCTAATCTTTGTCTATTCATGTTTTTATCTAGCTCTTATACAACTATAGGTTAGTTTCATCTGTGAAAAAGGAATAAACAAATATATTTTTTTATTTCAACCTCCCTTTTAACTGTCTACCTCAAGATGCAAGTAAAATGGTTGACACTCTGTATCACTGCAGTAAGTACCTGACTCCTTATCTCCTGCCTTTAAAAGAGCCAGATCAGGCTGAAAATGGAGTACTCTTTTCATATTTGGGTGGGAGCTGCCAACTCCTCATTTGCCAGTCTCAATAGAGTTCAAAAAGTATCAGAGTTCTTGTGGGTGACAAATTATTTTCTCTCTTGCAGGTGAGACATGGCGAGCCTCTCACTGCTCTTTCACTATTTCCACTTCATTTTAACTCTGTTTTGTTTTTTTTTTTTCTTCTCTTTTCTCTTTCAAAAAAAAAAAGAGGAAAGTATTCTGCTTTTGAAATTAACTGTTCACTCACCAATAATTTACCATATTTAGCCCTACTTTGTATTGAGTCACTTTTAAATTAAATGTTATGAACAGTAAAATTTGTTCTTATCTTACCTGGGGAAATATATATATATATATATATATATACATACATGCACACTTTTCTTTTTGTCATTTTCTCCACCTTACTTCCCTCAAACTTTTACACCTCCACAACCAATATTCTTTCCTACTCCTTTTCTTTTCACCTTCTTTATTCCTTTTTTCATCCTTTTTTACCTCCTACCTTTCCTTCTTAATATCTTTTCCTTCTTCTTTTTCTCCCACCTTTTTTCATCCTTTTACTTTTTCTACATATCTTTCCTTCTTAACATCGTTTTTCTTTTCTTTTCCTCCTACCTATTCCTTTTTTCATCTTTTTCTTTTGATTCCTACTTTTCCTTCACTTAACATCTCTTTTCTCTCCTGCTCTTGCCACCTTTTCTCTCCTGCTCTTGCCACCTTTTCTCTCCTGCTCTTGCCACCTTTTCTCTCCTGCTCTTGCCACCTTTTCTCTCCTGCTCTTGCCACCTTTTCTCTCCTGCTCTTGCCACCTTTTCTCTCCTGCTCTTGCCACCTTTTCTCTTGCCACCTTTTCTCTCGCCACCTTTTCTCTCCTGCTCTTGCCACCTTTTCTCTCCTGCTCTTGCCACCTTTTCTTATCACCTTTCTTCTCATTTACCTTCCATGTTTCCACTTTCATCCACTTTTCTTCCTTCTTTACCAACTAACTTCTCACTTCATAACTTTCTCCTTTTCTTTTCCTCCCTCTGCTCTTCCTTCCTTCTCCACACCTCTTTTCCTTGCTTCTTCTTTATATACCTTTTCTTATTCACACTCATATTTCTTTTTAATTTGCTTCCTACTGTCTTCACACCCTCTTTTCTTTGTTTTCTTTACCTCCTACCTGTTTCTCCTTCATATCCTCTTTTCCTTCCCCTTTACCACCCAATGTTTCTTCTTCATGTTCTCTTTTCTTTCCTTCTTCTTTACTCCCTAACTTTTCTCCCTCACACACTGTTTTTCTTCCTTCCTTTTCCTTTACCTCCTAAACCTTTTCACCATAACACCTTTTTTCTTCTTCTCTACCTTACTTACCAAATTCCTTCTCACTTAATATTTCCACATAGTTTTTGGTCAGAAAGTGATCTGTGATGGGGAAACAATTATTAGTCATATGTAAATACAAGTGGAAGAATAGTGTTGATTGTTTTTACTTTTATTTTATTTATAGAAATTTGCTGAGCTCCTGGAAATAGAAATTGTTAAATATGGTGTAGATACTGAAGTGACCAATTTGAAAGACTATGACCCTGAAGACCATATCAAACATTTTGTAAGTGCTACATATATTTGTACTTAAAATTGCAGATAGTACCAAATCTTATATATACTACTCTGACTTTTCCTGCACATACATAGACATTTTTTTCTCTCTCATTTATTTCCCCTTTTTTCTTTTTTTCTTTCCTTTTTTTCTCTCTTTCCTTTTTTTCTCTCTTTCCTTTTTTTTTCTCTTTCCTTTTTTTTTCTCTTTCCTTTTTTTTTCTCTTTCCTTTTTTTTTCTCTTTCCTTTTTTTTATGGTTTTGTCTGGTTTATTTTTTTAATGTATTCTGTATTTGTCTGGTTGAATTTATTTATTAAAATATATCAGTCTGAAGAGGTAGGTAAAAATTATCTGTTGAAGTAAAATGATATATATATATATATATATATAATATATATATATATATATATATATATATATTTGTGTATTTAGGCAGCAATCCTTCTTTCATGCACATTTCATTAAAAATGACAAAATGCTTTTATTTAATTTTTTATACAATTTTTCATGCGATCTAATAATTTTTTTCTTAACTCATAATTGATACAACAATAGTTAATAAAAATGAACACGCTACAGCCCATGTATGAATGTTTGGATTTCTCTGTATCCTTGGAAACAGTAAATTATGGATTTATATGTGCATTTAAAACTCAGTAAATTTAAAAATAAGTTATTCCAATATTCACTTGAACATGAAATGGAACTAATTCTTTTAATTTAATTATATAATTAAATTTAAAGTTTTTAGCTTCCATTTTTGAAACATTTGGTTATTATTGTGTAGCGAAAAAACCATATTTTAAATCGGTTAATTTATAATATTTATGCTCTGTAAATTTACATTGAGCACTGTTTTGTAAAAATAAAAAATAACAAGAACACTGGATTATATAGCTTACTGTTCTTTTTTTTTATTTATATAATATATATATATATATATATAAGCAAGTGTAAATGGATATAAATCCGAATAGAATGAAGAAATTTTGAAAAAACAAACAAAAATCCTTAAATGTAGTTAAAATGAAAGAAATGTCGACGTCTGACGTTTTCGGTTTAATAAACCTTTTTCAAGACAATATTCATCAAAATACAATTCAGTTCAATATGACAAATACGATGGACATAAAAAACACAAGTCTTATTCAGAACAGATAACTGAAAATTTTTAAAATGATCAGCCTTCCGTCTAACATGGTCACGCTTGTCGTCACATGGGCGACGCTTTCATAACGTATTCCTAAAAGTTTGTGATTATTTTGAAATGAAAAAAAAAAATGAAAAGAATTCTATTAGGTTCTAAAATTTTATGTGTATGCTTGTGGAGCATCAATCTCGCTAAAAAGGGGAAATATTAAAGAAACCAGGTCTAGTATTCACCGTGCGTGAGATGGATATTATACCTGCTTCATAAATCCTCCTGAGATTTTTATTATGAAAATATTTTAATACTTTCACGGAATCGAAATCGAAATTATGATCTGCTTTAGTTGTGTGTACAACTAAAGCATTGTTAAAATATCGAGACGAATATCTCGTTTATGTTTGAAAACACGAGATTTTAAGGACCTACCTGTTTCACCCACATATTTTAGGTCACAATTTTTGCATGATATTTGATAGATGCAAGCATCGGATGTAATATGTTGTCTGCTGGTGCTATTTAATAAACTACGGATAGTCCTAGTAGGTAATATAGTAGTTCTAATTTTTAATGCATTTAGATTATGAGAGATACGTTCGGTCAAATGGTTATTTGGTAAAAAGATATTATGAGGAGCCACTACAACTAGATCAATGAAAGATACAATTTCAGCTACCTCTGATAATTTCGTTTCGTTTATCTTTTAAAAATTGTGACATAAAATATGTGGGTGAATCAGGTAGGTCCTAATAAAACTTTTAAAGAGAAATTTAAGAATGCTTTAGTTGTACACACAACTAAAAGATCATAATTTCGATTTCGATTCGTGAAAGTATTAAAATATTTTCATAATAAAAACAGGAGGATTTGAACCATGTTAGACGGTGAATACTGATCATTTTAAAATTTTCTTTTTTATCTGATTGATGCTGAATAAGACTTGTGTTTTTATAGAATTCCATTTTTTTTTTTCATTTCAAAATAATCATTTTGAACTGAATTGTATTTTGATGAATATTGTCTTTTGAAATTTTTTTATTAAAACCGTTCTGTAAGACGTTTTTACATTTCGTATTTTCATTTTGAACTGAATTGTATTTTTGATGAATATTGAGGTTTTTTGTTTGTTTTTTCATTTTAACTACATTTTGATTTTGTTTTTTTTCAAAAATTTCTTCATATATATATATATATATATATATATATATTAACACATGTACATACATCAACACAAATATTTTTATTTATGCATACTGTATATGCACTCTATGTATTAACTTGCACTCCTATGCTTGAGAAAAAAAATTCCCTGTTAATAACTCATTCTTGAATTGCCCGTCTGTGAGGCGTGCACCCCCCTTTGGGAGCCACAGCTCTAAAGTCAATATCAACCATTTTGTGGTCCCCTGCTCTAAAGTGATTAATATTTGCATCCAATATTCATGATAGGTATTGTAATACAGATGACTCGATATGAGTTGTCTCTCCTTTTGATCATCCTCGTTTACACTCCTCACAGTGACTTTTGTTCAAAGCTGCTTGAAGTCATACCAGTTTGTTACATAAATGATCTGTTTCTTCATAGAGGTGAAGTTGTCTCATTTATTTCACTGTCACCTCTAATTAGTGTCTAAATCTCAATAGCAAATCAGATACATAACACATAAGTAGCACAAATTTTGAAAGCCACTGACTTTTATATCGGGGAAAAAAAAGATTAACCAGTTGCCTTGAGTTTTCATCTTTAACACAACCACTGAAATAAATAGAATTCATTTCATTCATAATAAAAAAAATATTTATATGGTTAAAAATAAGATTATAATAGTGTTATCTTAGTTTTATGTATAGCCATCTTGAATTTGTTTGGCTCACATGACCAAAAACATTGCGAATCGGGTTCATTGAGAAAACATTTACTGACTCCTGATTTTGATCATGAATTATAGCTTTCAATAAAATTATTAAATTAAGTCAGCTTTCATAAACCTGTTGACATTTTTCTTTTCTTTTTCTAGAGGGATCCAAAACGGGTGTATGTCATAATAATTTCCACTTTTGTGGAAGGCTCACCTCCAGAAGATGCTGCTTGGTTTTATAAGTGGCTAAAGGAAAGTGCTGTAGATTTCCGGGTCCAAAAGAACTTTCTGGAAGGAATGAAATATGCTGTTTTTGGTCTTGGAAGTTCAGTATACAAAGGAAATTACTGTGTTGTAAGTAATTAATCATTTAATTTTCTAGGTCAGTGTTGTTGGTTTTTAGTATAAAACAAACCAATGAGTTGTTTTTTTTTTTTTTTTTTTTTTTTTTTTTTTTTGATAAAATTGTGTGTTTAATGAAAATTTATATTGTGGACAAACAATACAACAATTGTGTGTCTACTATTGTAGCTCACTTTATCTCTCTCTTTACTGTTTTTGTCTTTCCTTTACTTCTTCAGCTTTGTTGAGTAATACTAACATTAAAAGTCATTCAGCTATCTTTTCACTCCTTAGTTGGTTCCAGTTTATCGTCTTGGTAGGGTTGATTTGGGTTTCCCCAAATCTTATGATATTGGGATTGATGGTGAAGTCTAGAAGTGGGCCCCTCTATGTGTGTGTGTGTGCCATAGTTAAGAATGAATAATTCTCAAATTATGGGCATGCTAACTTTTGTCTCTTTGCATCCAAGAGCAACATTGGGAATCAGGCTGGAAGAAGAACTCCTTAAAATAAAAAAATACACAACAGTGTTGATAACACTGACAACAGGTTTATCCAATATAAAGAAAAACTGGTGAATAAAATGTCTCTATTATCTACTGAAAGACTAAGCTCTCTACTTGCTGGATCATTTAGATGAGAATCACAATCATGAGTCATGTAACCCATTATGATCGTAGAGGCACCACATGTACTGCAGCTGCAGTAATGTTTCCTGGGTAATGTAGCCTGATGGGGCCTCAACCCTCTTTAGGCTGGTTTGAATTCAGAGTTTTCCTTCTAGACTAGTTAACAGCCAAGGCTATAGGACTCAGTCTGTCCTGCTTTTTACCTATAGCTGGGAGAGAAGAGATGGATTTATAATTTTCCCAAGGGTATTAGCATATAAGTGGATGTAAAGAACTCAACTGGAATTTGAACTCGGCTCTCCAATTACCCAATCCAAGCCACTATCCATTAATCTACTGTAAAGTCATATAATAATCAGATGATTCAGAATATTTTGCATGTCTTATCACAACTTTCAGGAAAATTGTGCATTCCATCTTGAAAGACCAATTACAGTTGCCATGTTAATGAGATCTGATAAAAATATAAAATTTAGTTTTTCCTATGAGTGAACAACAAAAATTATATAAAATGAGCTGACTGGTTATTGCTCTTCATTTGTCAGGAGTAAGCAAGAAAAAAAAAAGAAAAATGTCTGCATCATTAGAATTTTTGACTGCAACACTGAATTGAATATTATACATAAGGTAATGAAAATAGACATAGTTCTCCTTTTATTTTTATGTGCTGTGTCCTTTTAGGACTTAGGCGATCATGGCTCTCCACTTCCCCCATCCCTTGTGGCTCTCAATAAGTTTCATCTTTCTGCTACCTCCCCCAGACCATGTTCTGTCATCCACTTGCTTAAACTTGCCAGGTATGTCATGCATTGCTTTCCCTTGTCTCTCTTTCCTTCTATTCGACTTGTGAGTATCAGATTTTCCAAGCCCTCCTTTCTCATTACGTGTCCCAGAAACTTCAGTTGCCTCTTCCAGATGTTAAGTATAAGACTCCTCCTTGTTTGCATCCTCTCCAAGACCTCATTGTTGCTCACTTGCTCGGTACATGATATCCTCAGTATCCTTCTGTAGAACTACATCTCCGTTACCTCGAGTTCTTCTACATGTTTGAGGAGACTGTCCAACATTCACTGCCATAAAAGAGGGTAGATGTGATGGAACAGCTCAGTACTCTTTTCTTTGTTACCAAAGAAATCCTATCATGGAATACTCTGCCTAGCTTTTGGAATGCATCCTTGGTCATCCCAATATGTCTACAGATCTCGGTGTCACACTTACTGTTCTCTGTCAGAACACTTCCAGGTATTTAAACTTCTGCACCAGCTTGATTTTACTGTCCTCTACCTGCAAATTGTATTTCAGGCTCATTTTTTTTACTGATGGCCATACATTCTGTCTTCTTGTAGTTTATGCTTAGTCACTTCTTCTTAACTCTGCTTCATCAGCTTCTGCAGGAGGTTTTGTAGAATTAGCAAAATGGGAACTAGGATCATTAAAAAGAGTGAAAATGTGGTCACCGTTTACTGCTTTTTACTCATCAGAACTTGATCAAGAAAAGTAAAATTTTCGTGAACACTGACTAAAAAGGGAAACCTGTGTGATACCATAGATACCTATGTAGAAAGGAAAAAAGTAGTTTTTATCTTGATCTCCAGTGTTTTAGTTTGATAAACCAGCAGATGGTTCCTTTTTCAATTTCAGTCTTTTAAGTGGCACGCACTTTCACCAAAGGGGAATGATAAAGTAAAAGAGTGGATGAGGGGTTTTTGGAGCCAAAGTGAAAACAATACTAGAAATAGGGGATGTCCTGTCTGTATTCACAGTTGTGCTTAGGATTAGAGAGGGAGGTGGACAGACATGGTCGCTGTGTAGTTACGAAGCCACCATTTCGTATTTCCAACCAGCACATCAGAATATATAAGAAGGGCAAGGAGTTGGTAGTGGGGAAAGAGTTGGTAGTGGGGAAAGAGTTGACAGCAAAAGTTGTCCCAAGTATTACCTCCCTACCCACCTGGATGAGCAGGCAAAACCCTGAATGAAACACCTACATATAACATGGGGAAACAGGGTTTGGATTCTTATTTTTCAATGTGGCGTTTGTCTTCAATCATGATAACTTGTGAACGTGCAGGACGCCCTTTCCTAGCTTTTGGTGCATACCATTGAGATGGAGAATTGGAATGCAACATGGGATGATCATTAGCTGGTTGGTAGAAGCTTGGACTAGTGTTGTTTTATGTTTACACATGTAAAGGAAAATATGTGTTTATCAATCTTATATTGAGACAGGTATATTTTTATAAGCAAATAACATTCAAACAACCATTTCTTCTGTTTGCGTGAGGTTTTTGTTATGATTTTATGAAAATAGTTTCAAAGGCTTTTAAATGATAGTTAAAATGTGATCCACATAAAATATGTCCTCAAGGAAGGATAATGCACATTCCTGGTTTTTAATAAATAAAGTGTTCTGCAATAGCAGACCCGGGTGTGATGGCACAATTATGCAAATTATCTAGTAAATTCTTTTTAATAGATGCTGGTGCATGCTGAGCAATTCTGATCTCAGTGATCTTACTGATGTAGTCAGTTTCACGTTGTCACTTGAATATTTTTTTTTCACCTGAACCCTTCCCATTGAAATAGTGATAGAGCAGTGAGAGGCTTGCAATGTTTGAAAGGGGCTGTATATGAATAATTTGTCACCCACAAGGACGCAGAGATGCTTTTGGACTGGAAAGTGAAGACAGGGCAGCTCCTGTCCATATATGGCAGCAGTACTCCATTTTCGTCCTGATCTGGCTCTTGTAAAGGCAGAGGATAGCAGAGACGCTTTAGGGGTCTATCGAGACTGGAAAGTGAAGACTGGGCAGCTCCTGCTTATGTATGGCAGTAGTACTCCATTTTCGGCCTGATCTGGCTCTTGTAAAGGCAGAGGATAGCAGCTACGCTTTTTGGGTCTATCGAGACTGGAAAGTGAAGACTAGGCAGCTCCTGCTTATGTATGGCAGTAGTACTCCATTTTCAGCCCGATCTGGCTCTTGTAAAGGCAGAGGATAGCAGCTACGCTTTTTGGGTCTATCGAGACTGGAAAGTGAAGACTAGGCAGCTCCTGCTTATGTATGGCAGTAGTACTCCATTTTCAGCCCGATCTGGCTCTTGTAAAGGCAGAGGATAGCAGAGACGCTTTTTGGGTCTATCGAGACTGGAAAGTGAAGACTGGGCAGCTCCTGCTTATGTATGGCAGCAGTACTCCATTTTCGGCCTGATCTGGTTCTTGTAAATGATAGCACAAAGAGTTTGTTACTTACTGGAACAGTACAGGAAACTGACCATTTTTTTCAGCATTTTTAGTGATGGATCGTATTTACATGCTCCACTTGAATCTAGGTTGTGTTTAATTCTCAATATGTGCTCAAGGCAAGGGGCCTCCCTTAGGGAACATCCATTCATCGTGATTGGTGATAGCTCAGGGTCTGATCAATGATGATGGAATGTAACTAGTTTGGTTTTTGAAGCATTGAATGTAACCACACCACTCCTCTCTTCTAGATGTTAGAGTGAGATTGAAGGCGAGATCAGCTGCCAATCGCTGCCCATCTATAGTTTTGGAGGTACACTTATATGTAGCATAAATATTCACTGATGATCATTGATCAAGAGGGTCTGAGAAGCGACCCCTGGGGGGATACCTGTATTTGTTGCTAGGGCCCTGGAAATTAGGGAACTGGTTTTGAAGATAGGTAGGACATCTTTATGAATTGATTGCCTCTAACAGCTACATGACATTGAAACATAGGTTCTTGTATGATTATTGAGCTTAAACAACATAGAGCCTGGTCAGTACTGGGTGACTGCATGGGAATACCAGATGTCGTAAGCATAAGCTTGGATGTGTGGGTAGGATAATGGATGATCACTCGAAATTGTTAATTAGACGGTCAAGATCCAACTCAAGCTAGGTTCGTTATATTCACTTAGATGAAAATATCCTTGGGAAAGGTAAGAATCCAGCTCTTCTCTCCTCAGCTAATTAGTAAGACTTGTTTCACTAAATCATTATTTAAAAATAACTTGCAAATGGTTGATAAGCTGTAGAAAATGAATGAATGACTCAATCACTCAAATATTGATTAACTACACAGGCATGTCGTTTAGATTTATTTACAGTCTCTAGAACGTAAATGTATAGAAACTACTATGGTCACAAAGTGAGGGATCAGTTTATATATTGATTGTAATATAGAATTGAACCCCGACTTTATATCCACATTATAATTTCTTGTTTGTTTATCAATTTCTGATTGAGTATGAATCCACCTCTTCTCCCTCCAGCTATGGGTTAATTTGTAAGACTTGTATCACTAAACAAAATTACCTCTAAAAAAACAAATTCTGATAATCTAAAAATATCTTCTGGCTTTAAAGTATTGATTAGCCAAAGAAAACAAATCAGTCATTTATGAATTGATTGCAACCTAGGTCAAAAAAAAAGAACATAACATTTGAATTAGCTGAAAAAAAATATTGCCTGACAATGGTAGAGATTTGTTAAGCAAATCTCACACCAACCATGCCAATCCACAGCAATCTAAGATATACAGGATATTTTTCAGGACTGAAAATTTTTGAATTATCTAATTGCACAATATGCAAAATATTTTCTTAATATATTAATGTTTTAATTTATATAGAATGAATCAATATCCAAAAGGATACCTTTTATCACAAAAATATTTTCTTAATATATTCTAATTCCTGTTTTAATTTATTCATAGAATGAATCAATAATTATAATGCAATTATGTCTTTATTGCTATGATTAAATTTTGTGCTGCTAATCTTTAGTAATTTCAAAGAAAGACAAATTTTAAAAAAAAAAAGACCTTTCCTACCTTTCGCTAAGTAATAATTTTGGAAGTTCTCTCTCATCATGGATTATGTTTCTGTGTTTGAAGACTGGATGTTTTATCTCAACTTGATTTTTTTTTTTTTTTTTTTTTTCATTATTTCAGGTGGCTAAAAACATTGACCAATGGCTTCACCAGTTGTCTGCAAGCAAAATCCTCCCTATAGGCCTAGGGGATGAAAATGTTGCTGAGAGTGTACATGGAGGTAAGACTTGACACAATGTATTTTGTGTAACATTATACATGTATTAGCCTTCTTCTAGCACTAATGTTTTCC